ATGTTCTATTAAAAAAAAAAAAAAAAGAAGAAAAAAGTATACAATGACGACCTCGAGTATGTACATGGTTACGTGAATCGTTCGTCCTTCCGTTTAGCGAAAATTAAAATCAACCAGCGAGAGATTACGTCTCTGCAGAGGAACCAAGTTAGGCAAACGTGCAAATTTCTCGAAGCTTCTTTCTCCTCTCGTAAATATTTCATAATAAGTTTGACAATTGATTAGCAAATGACGATTGAATATCGAAAACGAGGTGTATCGATGATCATCATACGATTTCACGTATAATAATTTTATGACGAAAAGACGAGCAGAAAGTACAAGGTTACACGATAATATAATGTCATAACAACGTGTGTATTTCCACCAACATTTTCTTTCTCTTTTTTTTTTTTTTTAAATCGAAGTTGTTCTGCTTCGCTTTCATTCTCGCACGGAGGAATTTCGTTCAGTCGAGGTCTGAACTTCTTCGTCAGATACGCACGGACGACGTAAAGAAACGAAGAGGAAGAGAGAGATTTGAAATTTGCACTCGATCCTATATCACGCCGATTATGAACCACGCGATGAACGATCCTGGCAGCAATAGATTGTGAAATATGTGCGACAGATATTCAAGTACTTACTTGCCACACTTGTTACGTATCTCGAACATCGAAAATCAAGAGCTTATTAGGCCGCTAGGTTAGTAGCGGAAGTTTAAATTCAAGCGTTTTTTCATTGTCTCTTACACACGTGTATGTATTTTCTGGACCAATCGGTACGATACAAAAGGGGGCCATGATTTTCTTCATCCTTCACGTTCAATTTTTCGTGAAAGAAAAAAAGAAAAGAAAAAAAAAAAACCGACGTTACCTCTACGTGTAAGGGTGATATTGCGTTGATCTCACGTCGATCAGTATGTTTTTTTCGATTCAAGTCGAGCTTCGAAATTTGAAGAGGGAAAGTTTCTTTTTGGGTTAGGGGAGGTTTAAAAGAAATGTGCACGACAGAGGAAGAATTCTATCTTGTCTGTAACAAGAGTTCTTAATTTTCATCTTATTAATAGACGTTCGTTTTTAATTGTTGCCGATAGTTGAACGACATTATCAAATCCAGGGACCAATAAATAGTTGTAAAAGATACGAGCAAGACGGTTGCCAGCGTTATTTTTTGATGATTATGTCGATCTTTCGATTATTTTATATTCCCTTGCGTTTCGTTAATTGTTGATGAATCCTGTTTGTAAAACACCTGACGGCTAGTTCAGTCTCATTCGTAAATTGTAATACTCGTCACTTGTTGATTTTAAATTGTCAACTCTGATCTAAGTCTTGTCAACTGTGGGATCTAGGCTAACCAGAATTTTCATTTCTGCTTCTAACTGTCCTGTATATTCGACGAGATATCATAATCTGTACAGTTGTGCGTGTCGCGTTAATCCAACGATAAACGTAAAACCGAGCAACTGAATTACAAACTGGAGATACACGCATTACAGTTAATTAACAACGATTTTCGAGAGCAGTGGAAACTGAAAGATAGACAAGTCCTTGATCTGTACAAATCTGTATATATATATATATATATATATATATATATTTAAAAAAAAAAAAGAGCGACACGAAAAATCCCTCGATGGAAGATTCAATTCCCTCGACGTGTAAATAATATAATAGAAAGAGACACGTTGTGTCTCTGTCACAATTATGTCGTAATTACAATAACGAGAGCAAACATGAAGATCAAAAACCGTGAGCCCAGGTTTCGTAATTTCGAATTAATTTCAAATTAATTTAATTGACCGATGGATTAAATTGATTTCAAATTAACGTCGACGTTGAAGTCGAAATTGTGAAGAAACGGGCGAATTCGTTTCAGCAAGCTTTCACGATTCTCTGTCATTGTTTCGCGCTTTTTCGTGACATCGTAGAGAGATATTTCGATAAATTCAAATTAGCCGCGCGCGTTGTTGCCGAGTATACATCCGTAGCGATCGTTCGTTTCTTTTGTCGCAAGTGCCGAAACTACGAATGCTCTGTCGCACGTATTTAATAAATCGAAACGTTAAACGACTATAACACACCGCAGCGTACGTGTCTATAGATGATATATATTGTAGCACCTATGTAAATGCAAATCGATAATGTAACCTTAACTCCCTTACGATCACCACGATTCTCGTGTTACTTTTAATTTCGTTTCCGCCCGGCGATCCGTCACGAGCGCCACGTGCAACTTCCTTCGAGAATACCTCGATGTAAATATTCATGATAGCCGTAACGCGTGCTACGACGCAAATCAGAATTCAAGTACGAGCGATTTTCTTTCTTTTTTTTTTTTTTTCCTTTCCTTTCTTTTCTTTTCTAACGTTGGGGAAACTTAATTCTTAACCCTTAATTCTTTATTCGATAGCGATAGGAGGAAGAGTAAATCGGTATTTAAAATCGGAGTGCGAGAATGCAGGGCGAGGGCCAGAAATAAATTTTAGTAATTTTTTATTGTATAGTAAATTATACTATTATATAGTATAATTACATATTATATTATAAATCACGCTATTATATAGTAGTTTTTTTTATATCTTTATCCTGACGCTCAAATTTAACTTAAAATCAATG